CCACCAAAAGCACCAGGGGACCCTTGGCGGGTTGCAGACCGTGTGCATCAACACTATGTCCTCTGTAAGCACGGGTTCAAAGCTGCGAAGCAGTGGCGCCACCTTCACAATGATCTTGAGTACAATGTCAAAAGGCAGCGTCCCCAGCAGACCTTCCTGATGTCTGATCCCTTCACACTTTGACATAACGCAATAACTAACTAACTAACTCTGTAACAAACTCAACCATCTCACTTCTATTCTCTTACGAAAGCAAACATCGGCAAACGCTTCGGGATTTCTGGTTTCGGAAACGGATCTGCTTCTGTCTTCCAGTACAATGCCTGTTACAAGGCCGCGAAATGAAAATGCGATTTTTTGCAATAGCTTGGCATTCTGAAAATCTTTGACCGCGGACTTAGGTTGTCGGGTGGCCCTTCGGGCCGCATAACGCCTTTCGTATACGGCATATGATGATAAAAATTTCTGCAAGCTGGTCCGGCTTCGGGAACTCTATTTCTGTTTTCGGGAGTTTCGGTACGACCCGAACATCCCGAAGCGTTTGCCAATGTCTAGTCCCAACTTGGATCGAAGCCCAATCCCTTTCACTATGACATATACGTAACCAGTTCGTTGATAGGAAGGAAGTTGCGGATGTGCCGGGCAACCTAGATCCAAGCCGTACGATTGGATTCGTGTTGAAGATGCAGTAAGTGTAACAAAGCTTGCAGTTGGCAAGCAGTTGCGAAAAAGGAAATTATCCAACGATAAAAGGTGGTATTGATAAATACCGTTTGGTATTGGAAGATTATGAATAGTTCTTGGATGTACCGTTGGTACGATACCGTTGGCCCGGTGAGCCAAGGGCCGCCTTAGCGGCGTTACATTCCCCCCCTCTTGAATGCGAACCCGTCCTCGGGGCGCCTTGAGTGAGGTGGATAATTAGGGTAGCGGTACGCCTTTTGCGTACAGTTTTCCATGGTAAGCGCGGATTGCCTCTGGGCATCCTTGGTTGCAGTCCTTTGCGGACTCCCAGGAGTCGTACTCGGGGCCCAGTTTGTGCCACCTGACGAGGTACTCCGTGGTGATGCGGCGCCTGCTGCGAGACTGCCGGTGGGCGTGGATCTCGTCCACGTACCACAAGGGTTCGCCCTCAGCTGCGGGAATCGCAGGTGGGGGTGGCGCGTTGCTGCCAGCCTTGTAGGCTTTGAGTTTAGAGACGTGGAATACGTCGTGCATGCGCAAGTGCGCCGGGAGCTGTAGTCGAACCGCGGCTTCGCCCACCTGGC